CGGATCCAAGAGGGTTAAGAAGACTTGAGGGACACCCAGGCTTGGCAGAAAGGAAAACTGAGGCCGAGGGCACGGTGTTCCTGGCCCTGGGTCAATTCCACTCTGTGCACAGCCCCTGGCCAGGGGCAGCTGGTCTCAGGATGCTCCCAGATTCACAACCCACTCCTTTTTCTCCTGCTGGGGGCGTCCCCCCCGCCCCACTGCTTCTGACAGTGCCTGGGCCAGGCAGCAGTGGGGTTCAAGGCCAGCTCCACCTTGGAGTCGGGTGGTCTCCAGCCCCAGCCCCAGCTGCCAGCCCAGAGGGCTTCATTCTATGTCCCCTGTCTGTGTGCCCCACTCTGAGTGCTCCACCCTGCGTGCACGCCCATGCCCAGCTATCTATCTATCTGTCCGTCCCACACAGGGCTAACTGCCTGACCCTAGCAGTCCTCATCCGCACTGTCCTCCCCTCCCTGACCCTCAGTGAGGCGGGGGCCACAATCATCTGCCAATGAGGATGAGCCTCACCAGGAACGGACTGGGGTGGGGGTGGGCAGGGGGTGAGGGGGCTGCACTCTGGACTGTCACTGCCACAGGGACCATCCAGGGCACCCTCCACCGTGGGGGGCCGGGGGAAGGGGGTCGGGGAGGGAGGATGCGTTCCTAAGAGTGGATCCTGCTGACTTCCCCTCAGGGATGTGCACGCACACACACACAAATGCCCCCCCTACACACACACAAGCAGTGCCACACTCCAATGCACATACATTCATAGACACACCCACCTCCTCGCAAACATACACACACCCACACATCCTCCCTACCACAAGTGTACCTACATACACTTCTACACCAACATGTTCCCTGCACACACAGTCATAGACACACAGTCACACCCTCTCCCACTAATGCATGTCCACACACACAGGCACACGCACACGCCCCACTGGAGGACTGGTCCCCTGTGAACATGGACACCCTGCCCGCCAGCTGGCCAGGCAGCATGAGCTGCAGTCACCATCAGAGATGGACAGCTCACGGAGTAAATGGTGACCACACTGGCTGTCATGCTGGCCACCCATGCCGGACTCCATGCCACCAGCACTTCATACATCAGCAGGTCAGCTGTGGTGGCTCCGGCGGAGCGTACAGACGCAGACAGGCTGGGAAGAAGCACTTAGCAATGCAGCTCTTTAAGAACCGGTCAGACAACACCTTGTAAGCAACAGCAGGCCATCGTCCAGTGCAGGCCAGAAGGTGAACCCTGGGGAGGCCCTCAGTGCAGAGCTGGGAGGGAGCTACCGCTTCAGGGGAGCCCGAGAGCTTTGGGGTCCATCTTTTGCCGATGTGACAAAAGAAGAAGAGAAGAAACAGGTGCACATCAGCATTGAGAACCAGAATGAAGTTTGAATATGGAGCATGAATAGGAAGTATGAATCCAGGACACCTCCAGAACCGAGAGCAGGCTTCCTCCCCATCCTGCCCCAGGCGCTAGCCCACCGCAGTTCCGCTGGTCTTAGCGCCTGTGGTTTGGGGGGAAGTTACCGACCAATGAGTTTCCCATTCGACACTCTTTTAACATGTTTGTCTGATGACATCGACCTCAATTTCCCCCATGAAGCACCCTCCCACCCCTGACCCCGCCCCACCCCGGCCTGGAAAAGGGACAGTCACTTCCAGCCTGGAGAGCAAGTGGGGCGGCCCTGTGGGCTTGGG